ACATCAAAACCTCCTTCAATCCCTGAACAAACAGAAACAACAACAGAGGCAGACACATGTTAATTTCAAATGAGGTCAACTGTATTATCAATGTTTATATAAATACTCCCTCATGCACCCACCTATAGCCAATCTGGTCGGCTTCTTCTTGGGTGGGTGTCCAGAGCCAGAGTTATTGTCATCTTCCTTCTGTAAGAATAACACAGGACATCAGCGGTCACTGAGATTAAGTCAATGGACATAAGAAGAAATGGTGCTGATTGTGTCAAACATAATTTTAATACAAGTTCATGCTGGATGTAAAAATGCTGACTGTTCTATAAAAAAAATACATAAATCATAAAGTAGAAGAAAGAGTTCACCTTAGCTTTACAGGTCCGGGTGATGTGTAAGTAAGCCCTCTGACCAGACCGAGCATGGTGTCTGTCCACATACTGACTCCCAAACCCCAAGAAACTGTTCATGCATACAAACAGGCCTCCTTCACTCTCCTGTAAAGAAAGCAGGACATCCGTGTTAATCGTTACAAGCCGTTATCTGTCTCTCAACCAGCACAATCCTGGCAAATTAAAGTTGGCGGCAACATATGGGTCCTAACCATGTCATAGCATCAGTTACTATAATCTAGGCAACTAGCTCTCCTGTCAGCCTGCTAATGGTAATCAACAACACTGGTTTAATGTTGTCGAAATTTATGTTTTAAGTTTAATCTGTCGAGACTGAAATGTTATGGGTTAAGTTACGCTCAAATCACCAATAGCCTTGCCAGAGTTGTGACTACTCAGGACTGAATTACCTTGCTTGCGATTTGACAGCATAACCACCATAGCTAGCTAGCCAACTAGAGCAGCTAAGTTTCCATTACAGTGCAATATTAGCCTAGCTTGGCGCTAGCTTGCTAGTTAGTTGAAGCAGGAAAATCCAGTAAACGAGTGCGTTTAAATGGGACAGCGCTGACAAAACGATACGTTAGACTAAAGCAAGAGGCAGGCTAAGGAAATAGCAAAAAATAAAATAGCAATTCTTGCTAGGTGACGATTTAATTCACGAAGGAAAGATGTCTCACCGGCGAGGAAAATGACAAGGCGCATTCGTCTTTGTGGACACGGTCCCCGGGCTTGGGAACCCGAATTGTAGACAAAACTGACATCAAAACCTCACCAACATCCGCCATGACGAGCTCTCTAGTTCCGCCTTTCAGTTGGACACTTGCTCTCCTGAGTTTGGACACCCAGCCTTTTGATTCCTAGGCTCGGAAGAGCGCCCGTTGTCTAACCCTTCTTCGGCTGTCTGTGTTTGGCTGAATGAATCATGAGATGCTGCTCTGTGTTGAGTGAAGGCCGAATGAACTCAGCTGCCCGCACGCCTTGTGGCTCCGGCTCGTTACCGTAATCCACAGCATACCGGCGCAGGTGGAGATTTTTACACAGCGCCGTCTGTGGAGTTTTACAATGCGGTAATATTAGATTCAAAATCCACCACTCCTGAGTCACAGATTGAAATTGTGTTTTTGCGTAAGGAATAAATAAAAATTGGTAGGTGTAATTCATGTGTTCACCAGACAATGGATAATAGATTACCACAGGAAAAGTAAATCGTTTGGTAATGTATAACATGGCCTGTAGTACCGCACCACAGACTGAGCACACCTGTGGCATTGTTGGCCTACCTGAGACTTACCGCTCAGAACATGTTGTGTCATGTAATCTCGATGCTTTTGCAGCTTTATGATTTTCAGGTTAAAAAAAAAAACGTTTGTAGAATAGCATTTTAATAACTTAAGGCATCATTTTAGCATTATAATTGATCATATTTAAACAATGAACAGTTTTATTTTCTTTAGAAAAGAATCAAAGCATCCATCTCTATTGATTCCACAAACATTTTCTGACAAAAAATCTGGGTAGACATTTCTGCCACAAACAACTGAATTTGAATAATTTATATTTGAATTATGTATTGCACAAATCGAATATTTGAGGTTAAAAACTGAATTTGAATCATATAAATTAAATTTGTATTCATTGAATTGAAACTGCACTCCAATAAACTTGAAACTGAAAGTAAGCAAAGTTAAGTTTATGTTCTGTAAGCTAATCAGCATGCTTTTGGATGTTTGGTTTCCTCCCTGTGTTTTGACTCATCATGACTGAAATTACTTTTGTATCAGCTTCTGTGATAAAAGCTTTCCTCTTTGTTTTTGTAACCTGGCTTTTGTATCTGCCTCTGGGACCTCTTCTGACTCCTCCATCACAGTGCCATGTCCCATGACGACACACTGTGCTAATATGCTAAGTGTTTTGGCAGAGTCTCTTTCCATCCAACCATCCATCCATTATCTATACGCTGCTTAATCCTCATTATAGTCGCAGGGGGCTGGAGTCTATCCCAGCTGGTGAAGGCAGGGGACACCCTGGACAGGTCACCAGTCTATCACAGGGCTACACTTAGAGATAGACAACCAAGCACACTCACATTCACACCTACAGACAACTTAGAATCACCAATTAACCTCAACATGTTTGTGGACTGTTGGAGGAAGCTGGAGAACCCGGAGAGAACCAACGCTGCACGGGGAGAACATGCAAACTCCAAGCAGAAAGATCCCAGGTGTCCTAACTGGGGATCTTCTTGCTGTGAGGTGACAGTGTTAACCACCGAGACACCTTGCAGCCCTCTCTTTGCATTAAAACAAAACATTTTCAATTGTAAATGTATTTTCATGGACAGTACCATAGTTTTCCATTTACAGTGTTAAGGGGCAAAATTAACAGTAAAAATTGTTCTCTGCCTACCAACATATGCATTCACCCAGCACCACAAATGGAGACCTTCATGAACAATAGGACATATTACATTATATTATGCAATGAAGGACCCATGTGGTGAAAATCTGTTGTTATTGTATTTTATGATTGTCATAAGCTTTGGTGTGTAAAGTGAAAGCTGTTAAGACATGAAACATGTTAATTTCTGCCATTCCTCAAGGGCCACTTACAACTAGGTAGCTTTCCAGTTTTACAAGCCATTAAAAGTTTCACTTAAGTGCTACATACCGCTTGACAAACCAAAAGTATTTAAGCCTAGACTTTGTATAATCCTGTCCCCTAACTGCCGGCTGCTTGAAAGGTGAGCCATTCAGAATGAGCAGCTATTTACAGTCTGCCAAGATTGTTTACTTCCCAGATGACATTTATGATTAATCCAAAATGTCTCAGCCACGAGAAATGTCAAGAGACATTCAGAGAGGCTGGAAACTTTAAGACTGATTTGAAACCAGTAAACAAGGATGAAGTGGGTCATTGTCTTTTCAAGTCACCTGCTCTCTTCAGTGCAACTTAAAATCAGCTGTGTGTTACATCTGTTTGCTTGTCTCCTGCCAATTGCCTGAACATACACTACATTTTAATACAGCTGAAATCCCAGTATAGCTGTTCTTGTTTATGGAATGCGAATGAAACGCAGCCCAATAAGACCACGCGTTAACCAGTGTTCCAGTTTAACAGGTTTTCTTACAGTTCAATCAAATGAAACTGTTTTGATCCTCTTGATAAGTACATTTGTGTTTTGCCCTGCAGGTTTTGTTTTGTTGTTGATGATAATGACACAGATTTGCACCATCGATTAATTGATGATGGTTAAGTTTTTTATGTTAGCACTTCATTATTTAGTGACACTTCATCACCATAATAACCAAAATACTACCACTTTAATGTACAGACACCAGATATTTAGTAATCTTAACTGTTAAACAACAACAACAACAAAAAACAACTAAAACAAATCAATACAAAAAAAAAAATCTACATCATGTATATTATATGATTTCTTTCAAATTGACAGTTTTCAACTAATCTCTATATTACAAAAACATTGTAAGATTAAATTATAGTTTTTGGTTTATGTGTAGAATACCAAGATTGTCACTGGTCTAATTTGTCCACCCCTTTGAAAAATATCCTGAAGCGCCACTGAGAGGAATGAAAAAACTGACACAACAACCAAAAGCACCATCTGCAAGAAGAAAGTAGCTCTAGTATGGAATGAGTGCAAGCGCTTAATACAGCAAGGAATAACAAAGCCAAAAGAATAGGATAAGGGAGGCAAAGGCAGGTTTTATTTTTCAATACATTTAAACCGGGGTGGGGGTGGGGGTAGTGTGGTCATAACTAGGCTGAGGATTGTGGGCTGGTAATGTATGGCAAGCACCTGGACGAGAAAATGAATCTGTGGAGATGCAGAAACCATGCCCTAACATAGTGCACCTATCTAACCATCACACAGAGACAAGCGTCATGAAAGCAGAACTGTCAGAAACACAGATTATTCAACATGAAACGTCTTACAACAAAATCTGTAATTGAATGTCTCCACTGTACTGGCCTACGAGGTGTGTCAGAAAAGTTCTAGGACTGCTGTCCCAAAAGATATATTTCACACCCAAACTACAAACTACCAGTTTTCCCCTTCAAACGATCAACCAGCACATCTACAGAGAGATCTAGTGTGTGAGAAGAGGCGAGAGATGAGGCAGGGCAAGTAGTTTTCTTTTTTTGTGTGCTCTTTTTCATGTATTTGTGTAATATATATATATATATATAATTAAACTTAATTCAGTTTGTACATTCAAGTCAGGGTGCATTCAATCAATATTAGTCCAGTGTATTACTATTGGTAGAAGGCTGTATGAGCAGTACAACAGACAAGTATGATATAAAGACAAAACAAAAGAAGAAAACAGAACAGAAGGGGGACTACTTCGAAGCAGTTTGTACTTTGGATTTGAAATATATCTTTTGTGACACTGGTCCTGAAACTTTTCTGATACACCTCGTCTTCATAAGGATTTCGCTTTTTATAGGAGTTCTACAAATGACCTACAGGCGGCAGTAATACGCCTTTGTTGTTTGTAATCTGCTGCAAATGTCACCAGAAGAAGAAGAAGCATTACAAGTTGAAGAAGACGCAGAAGAAGAAACAGCTCTGTGTGTGTCGTCATAAAGTGGGCGGGGCTGGAGGTCCAGGCAGCTCTCTAAGCGCTTGCTCAGCTTTCACCTGAGACTCGCAGTCGTTGTCGGTCGTGTTTGCTGTGCAGGAACAAGTATGCTCCGTACTGTGATTTCTCGGGTGTCTCCCCTGCTGAGTCGAGTCTCGGCCTGTCACTACTCTGCGGCCGCCATACCAGCGCCCAACACTCAGCCCGAGGTCCACTACAACAAGGTAGGGTCAGCCAGAAGGCTCCTCCGTGACACTGGACATCGGCCAACTGCGTAGTCAACAAGTGTCTCCTGTTACTTTACCAAACCGCAACGAAGCTACTATAAAAGGGTGTTCGTGAGAGTTTAAACCTGCAACTATCAGGTGTGTTGCATTTGTTAAATTGCTGCTTCACGGTTTCCCTGCGCTTGGAAAACGTGCCTTTATAAGGGCCGAGGTTCAACTAAGTCCAACTAATGTAAACACGTGCTGCTGTTTGCTGCAGAGCTCTGCTGAGAGGCTAGCACTAGTGAGTTAAAAGAGCATTTTAGAAAGATACCTGCAGCAGTCTGTTAGTGAAAAATCTGTGACATAGCAAAATGTGACTGTGCAGGTTATGTAACCTTAATCATTAACTATGTGTACTGTCAATAATTAACTCTATGCAGCATTGATTATTAACACTGACTACTTTGGGTTTTTTTTTTGGACATATACTTATAGTCTTCCTATGTCTGAACTTAAGTCTTCTTCCTCATTTCCTCAACATCCAGGCCTGTAAGAAGAAGCAGGGTTTGAGATTATCAGGTTAACTTCAGGTTTAACTCTGGCTTTTCGGTACGACAGTGGTTCACTAATTATCAGAAAGTTTAGTCTCAAAAAAGCTGAGTTTCAATGATTCAAAGTAGTATTGCTCATGTATTTCACAATTTCTAGTTGGTTCTTGAAGTTTGGGTTCAGACTCTGTCACACTGGGCCACACACCCGGGTCATTAAGGAAAAGTAATCATGAGCGGATCCACAGAGTTCGATTCTTTCTGGCTGATTAACACCTGCGGTATATAAACACACAGGATCCGTCTCCTCCTCTTGTCAAAGAGTCCACAATCTCCTGAGTATGGTTGCTGCTGGTGAAGCCACAGTATGGAGGTCTCTGTCCAGGGCTGAAGGATCATTACAGTTTTTGTAGTAAGTTAAGTTTGACAGATGATTTTAAGAAGTGAGGTGAGCTGTTGAAGCTGTTCTGATGAGGTGACAGTTAAGGAAAGCCGTCTGACCTGTTATTATATTAGTTTTGTTGTGCCATATGACCTCAGTTTAAAAATGAATTTAAACAGATAGTGGGAAGAGATCTCTTAATTTTATTGTAGTGGTTTATTACAAATTACTTGTCTGCAATATGAAAACGATTGCAAAAGTGTAGGTAGAAAAAGTGGAACTGAATTTGAAATAAAGCAGAGGAAGCTGAAGTTGGTCAGGAGCTCCAGAGCAGCAACTAGACATCACTTCAGGTGTGAAGCTTCCCAGTTAACTGAAGCGCATTGTGGAGATTCTTTTTCTTTCCCTCTGTGATTACAGGGCCTGCCCTCAGATTCACAATTCAGCACTACCCAGTGATATGGAGGACTCATCCCATGTGTAGAACTCATTCACTCTTTCTCCAGAGCTTTGTCTTAATATTGTAGTATATTTCTGCAGTATTTTATAAATAAACAACTGATGAAAAGAAGTACGACGTCTAAAATGCTACACTACAAAGCTGCAATAGCTTTAAAATATTTATAAAATGTTTAGTTTAACTTGGAAATGAATAAATCAGTACTGACAGAATAATAATTAACATGTAATTTGCTTTTCTTATGTATCCTTATCCTGCCTGTCCTCTCCCTTTGCTGATAAACTGCACTTTATTCTTATTGGTATCAACTGTGGGTTTGGTGACGAGCACATTTTCTGTTTTCAGCAATGACTGTTATCAGCTGTCCCAGGAGAGCATGACAAAAACAAGTTATGTAATGGTGGTTTTCTTTCACAGCAGAAAACAGAACTAATGTAAGGCAAAGGTCTTGAGGCTGAGCCAGAAACACTTTTACATACTGTATGTGGGTGTTCTGCTATACATGCATCATTTATTATTACCTTTAACATATTTTATTTTATATCTCTATTTCAGTTTCAAGATAAGAGGGAAAAAATGCTCGGCGTTGAGCAAGAACTGCTGCAACAGACTGCTACTTAAGCAGTACTGGAAGTTAATTTATGAATATTTTCCTTATTTTACTAGTCTGTAGTGTGCTCTGTGTGTAATGGATGTAACTTAATGTGACAAACTCCAGAGTATCTCATTATCAAATGGAATATTTTATGCTGGTGTTACTATAGACCAGTTTTGTTTTCCAGATATGTCCATGACATTTATTGCTTTTCTTGGCCTCTGTTTAGGAAGTTGAAGCTTGATGCCATATCTTGTCTAAAATGAGGTAAACGATGAGTAACATGATCCATTCAGATACTAGCTCATACATTTTCACTTTCTCACCTCACATCTTAATTTCTGCGTGTGCACTTTGTAAACATCATTTGGTTTCATCTTGGAAATACCAGGATTTGACTTTTTTTGTTGTTTATTTAGAGTTGAGTACTATCAGCCCTTTACAGGAAGCTGAAGGAAAGTCAAGGCTTTTGTTTTTACACTCATCAGATTACAGTCATGTTAAAAGTCAGATGACTTTCCTTTGATCGTTTCTCATCTGAACTCTTTGAACATCTCAGCAGAACCAATGTCTGTACAATACTGACTTTTACATTTCAGTCTAAGCACAGCAGAATGATTTCTTGAGGCAGATGAAGTTTTAAATAATCTATTTTAAATAAAAAACTCTGCCAGCTACCGGTCTCCTGCTTTTTTCCTCATAAATTACATTACTCTGCTTCTTGTCTTAGTTAGCAGGTTAATAAATGATTAGCTTATAAACTTATATAATTTACTAGAAAAGCTGTAATGATCCTTTAGTCGTGGGGGAGGAGGAGACACATTGTCTGTGTTTATATACTTTTAGTGCTGATTAAGCTCTGTAGATCTGCTCATGATTACTTTTTCTCAATTACCAGAATGTGTGGCACAAGTTTGACAGAATCCGAATCATAACTTTAAGATTGAATTTGTATTGTGAAAACTGAACGTAGAGGTGATTTATTTATTTATTTTTTTTTTGGTGAGGATAAAATGCAAGAATTTCATTGCAGATTGTTTTGGTTTCAAGTTTGCTCAGTTTACTATATGTAAATTGTACTACATAAAGTAAACATTTTTATTAAAATTTTTAAGTCGATCAATGCAAAATCTTATGTAAATGATTCAAAATTAGTTTCTGCTGGTACAAAGTTCTGCTCATAAAGGTGCATCACCATGGAGCTGCTGAATGCTAAACAGCTCACCTAACCTATAAAAGCACCACCTACCAACCAGTCCCTTCAATCCAGAAAAGGGCATCAGCATTCTAGGAAGGCCCAGCGGAGCTTTGTAAGTAGATATTGAGTTTATAGAACTGCAAGTGGTTTCAGAGCCATTTCATTGCCTTTGTAGAGCCATATAATCCTAAAACAGAAACTGATTAAAACACTAAAGCTTTGCTGTCATTGACCTTCTGCAATTTGCAAAAATTTTGCCTCCTTATCCGTTTGAATGATGTTTTTTACATGCTCCTAAAATCGTTAGAACACCGGCAGTGCGAGTTTATCCAGTGTTTCCTACTCATACTGCTGAAAGCGAGCCTGTACAGGGTGAAAATTATCAGCGCTGAGATCTAGCAGGACACGCAGAGACACGAGTCCATTGTCTGATGCTATGAAAAGGTCATGAGTGACTGGCACCAGTGCTGTTTTTGTGCTATGATTCTATGGACTCTAAATAATGTTTACATAATTGACTTGACTTGACTTGAACATCTTTGTGAAGGGTTTTAGAAATAAGTCAACAAGTGGTTACAGCATTTATTTAATTACAACAACCTCTAAAGTCTGCAATATGTAGCCTGTTAGTGAAGACTGATCTGATCTAATGGCTTTGTTTCTGTGTATATGACAAAATTAAAAAAACAACAACAACAAAAAAACCAATCACGTAGATTCACACCAGAATCTGTCTGTTATACACTGAACAAAAATATAAATACAACACTTTTGTTTTTGGTCCCATTTTTCATGAGCTGAACTCAAAGATCTCAGACATTTTCTATGTACACCAAAGGCCTGTTTCTCTCAAATATTGTTCACAAACTTGTCTAAATCTGTGTTAGTGAGCACTCCCCCTTTGCCGAGGTAATCCATCCACCTCACAGGTGTGGCATGTCAAGGTGCGCCTTAGGCTGGCCACAATAAAAGGCGGGGGGTCAGAAAACCAGTCAGTATCTGGTGTTGCCACCATTTGCCTCACACAGTGCAACACATCTCCTTTGTATAGAGCTGATCAGGTTGTTGATTGTGGCCTGTAGAATGTTGCTCCACTCCTCCTCAATGGCTGTGCCAAGTTGCTGGATACTGTCAGGAACTGGAACATGTTGTCGTATACGCCGATCCACAGCATCCAGCTACTGAACTCGTGTATCATTATTTGAAGTAACAGGTAGTCCACCGCTGTGTATTCCATTTTCTGATACACAGTGGGTTTAACTAAGAAGCAATGAAAGGGGGAAGTTTCCGGTTACCAACTCTTTTTATTGGCACTGCATGATTGTTTGTAGTCACCCCATGGCATTCACTGAAAAACAATTCTGATTGAAGAGGTTTTGTTTTTAAACTCAAGGAATATTTTTGCTCTAGTTTACAGCCTGCATACATGAAGGTCAAAGAGTCATTTCACCCGAGTTATGAAAAGCATATTCTCTTAATTAGAACGGGCCTGTTGTATTGTTGGCTGCAATTTAAGAGGCACTGTTATTCATCTCTTCCTGCCAACTGTAGTCACTCTGTAGTTCATGGCAGTACTGCATATACATGTGTATGTATACATATAATGCCATTATTTTATTATGTGCAAGTAAGTCGCTGTTCTTGAACTAGTTAAACTCTCTAAGAATGCAAAAGAAAAATAAATCCCTTAAGCCCTAGCACATAAAAGGGATTTCAGAAACCTCAGGAGTGTAAACTCCCAAGACAGATCATCGTCCTTATGTGGCAAGAGATAAACTTGCATTTGCAAAAAAAATGTTGACATGGAGCGATTTGCACAACTCAGTAACATGTGAACCTGATAAGGAACTATGGAGTTCCTGTTATTTTTTTTTTTTAATTTAAAAATTTTACTTCAGATGTTGAAATTGTAGTAAATCATTTATTGAACAGTAGATTAATGTGTGATTTGGTGGAAATGCAGCACTTACAATGGTACGTTCAATATTTCAGCTGTTCATCAACAACCAGTGGAAGGATGCCATCAGCGGGAAGACTTTTCCGACCATCAATCCATCGACCGGGGAAGTCATCTCTCAAGTAGCAGAGGCTGATGAGGTAAACAATCTGCTCCAAATAAACCCCAACAGGATTTCAAGCAGTTTACCTAACATTTGATTAAAGGCTGTTACTAAGTTATTAAGTCTAGATGTTTTATACTGAAATAAGATCTAGTAGTCGGATCAGTATGAGAGATCTGTTATAGTTCTAATGCATCTTTGAACAATCCAGCATTTGCTGTCATAAATGATTCAAGACAATTTGCAACACTGGGAGAATTGTTGGATTGCAGTGTAACATCTAACTCTGTCACCTGCATAGCAATGGAAGAGGACATGATGGTTTATTATTGTCTGACTAAAGCAGAGAAACTGAAAAAGGCAGTAGGCCAAAAATGGACCTCAGGGAACATAACCTTTAAAACTTTATTAATCCCAAAGGACATTCTTGTGTCAAATACAGCTTAGAAAAAAAAAGTGAAAATTACAGAACCCTGGAATGGACATGGTCAATTTCAAAATAAAACTCAATAAAACTCTTGTACAGGTGGGTGTCCTCCATTGTCGTTTCTCCATACTGCCTTAAAGACCCAGAAGTATATATACTGATTGTTTGCTTCTTCTTCTATTGATTTCGCTGTTGGCATCTAATGTTCAGGTGCATTACCGCCACCTGCCAGACTGGAGTTACCCATAGTTTTGCAAGATCTCGCAAAAGATACCTCTGTTCTTTTTTCCTCTCCCTGTTTTTTTTTTCTCTCCATGTCCCTTCCAGGGCTCCATAGAA